CCGCAGGGGGATCACCGGTTCAGATGTTTTTAGCCGGTCTTCAACGAAAGGCGGCCGCAAGCCCCATCAAAGAGGCCCGCCCCATGGAGAGACGGGGGCTGGATCTCGTCGGCTATTTGTCGACCTTGGAGAATGGCCAGTTGACTCTACGGCTTGCCTGGGTCACAGCCAGTCGGTGGGGAGAAATCGCTCTACTCCAAAAGGAAAATTTTATTCCCCACCCTCAATACAAGGAAGCCCTCATTGTAGATTGGGGGGCCCTCCCAAAGACTTTCAAGATCGACCCTCACAGAGCGGCGCGGTACGCGGTTATCGGGGGAGAGGATGCAAAGAGGGTGAGAGGCGTCACCAAAGGAATGGTGGAGGGGGAAAGGCCCACAATGTTAACCACAAGAGACATGGAAAACCTACTCCGCCCACTCGACATGACAGCGCGTTCCATCAAAAGAGGGGCACTGGCGCAAGCAGCCGCAGCGGTGATCGAACACGACCTCGGCCCTCGCCTGCTGGTTTAGTTGGGGAAACACGCAGACCCCCTAGAGCCGCCACGCAGCACAGCTCGCTACATAGGGCCGTAGGTCGCTTTGGCCAACAAATCCGCACACCTGACGGCATATATGTAGACGAGGTCAGCAAATGAGCAATGTCTCCATGGGCCTGTCCGGGCAGAGGGCAAGAGCAGGGACCACTTTTTAAGGGACATAGCATTTTGCGACGTACCCATCATACGCGGGTGGCCGATCAGAGCGACGAACGCAGGTTACCGTTACAAAAGGTAGATGTGGATACTCTCTCACTGCGCTGGGTCCGGAGCCGGCTCAATTCTAAGGCTCTGGAACGGTTAAACCAAGTGTGGGACTTGGCGCGACAGCCGGCTAATTTCCGGACAGGGGGACGAGAGCCTCTCTTGAGAATGGCAGAAGGGGATGCCCGGGCGATGGAGAAGGCCGGTTTTATTCAAACCGCATCAAAGCCACCCACTACTGGTTGGGTGATGCCTTTTGCAGTCGTGGGGGAAAAACCGTCTGGCCCACGGCGACGTTTCATAGCATGGCCAAAAGCTAAAAATGAACAAGAGGACTACGAGGGTATGGTTCCTCTAGGGCGCACTTCCCGTTACCTGGGTGCGGTGTGCGATGGGGCTGCCGCCATTTTAGATCTCAAGGCATCCTTTTTCCAGGTGGGTTTGCCAGCCGAAAGACGCAGAAATTTCCGTTGCCGCACGGAGAAGGGGGAGCTCGTTGAAATCACGCGGCTCCCAATAGGGTATAAATGTAGTCCGGAAATCGCGTACACGATCTCAAGGGTTTTGGCGGGGGACCCCGAGGTGGTTAAACCGCGTTATGCGGCCCCGCCGGAGTTAACTCTACACGTGTAGATTGGTAATCTTCGTATCACAGGGCCACGCAGAGCGTAAAGTCGTGGGGGACATTATTATGACAAATATGCGCGAATGCGGTGCAACGGTGGGAGAGCACGAGGCTCCCACCGCGCGTTACGAATTCATAGGGGTCTGTTTCAACCACATTGCGAAAACAGTTTTTCTCAGTTAGAAGACGTTGCGGGACTTGAAGAGTGCCACACCCCTCCATAAGATGTCGGTTGAGGAATTGAAAAGCTTCACTTCACGCATGATGTATGCAGCGGGGGTTCAAGGGGGTTCGCTTTTTCGGTATTATTTCTTTTTGAAAACGGTGCGCCGAAGACTGTCGCGGCTCAACAGAGGGCTGGTAGAGGCCCATGGCCCGGCCGCTCTGCCCCTTTTTGCCCTTAAGATCGGACAGGGGTGTCTGGACACTTTGTTGCAGAATAATCCTGTCAACCCCCCGAGGGCAAAATCGACCTCAGGGGCTTTAGTGTCCGACGCCTCTCTATATGGATGGGGCGCGCTTTTGCTTAAGGATAACGGGGGGTGTGTGGGCTGCAGGGGGCGCGTGGGAGCAGGCCCCCCACATTATTTCACAGGCCGAAGCGAGGGAGATGGGACTGGCCTTGCTCGCTTTCAAGGGGAATTTTCCGATTCAACTCCATATATGTATCGATCCTTGGTGATGCCGGCCACCCCATCGTGGTACCAAGGCCCAGTGCCCCGTATTGTCGGGGGAAGCCAAGCGCCAGCAACGTTCGCCACTTGGAGAACAGTGCGGCGCCAGGCTTACGGCATCACGAAGTACCAGGGCCCGCCGCGTCTTGCTTGGACGCAGTGTTATCCTTGTCGGTCTTGGGGCGCATTGCGCCGTGCCGTCAGCAGTATCATCCGCACAAAGTTACTGCTTAGTGGAAATGTGGAAGAGAATCCCGGCCCTACATTGAGGGGCA